GTCGTAGTTGTCAATGGTTGCGTCGAAAATTGTGTAGTGGTGTTTCAGCAGACCGACCACTTGCAGTGGAGCTGAGAGAGCTGAGATGGTCGTGAATCGGACAATATCGCTTAAGTAGATGGAAACCTTGTCGAAGGTTTCGGGTTCAACCGACTTTCCAGACTTTCGTGATTCGGCCACCACACTGGAAGGTTAGGAAAGAAAAGACAATTCAGTAGTTATTATCGGAATTCGGAAAACATAATTATTTTAGTTATTGGATGGTCACAATTTCAAATTCAGTTTTCCCCTAGATCAGGAAGACGATCGTTTTTTAAGGGCGTCGTACGTAATACAACTAAGTTTAGTAAAAACCTACCTCCTCTAACTTAGAAATAATGGCTCTAAAGTGACCACTGATTATAAATTATTTTCCTCCTCTATATAGTCGTCCTCTATATAGTCGTCAGACTTTCTGCATAGTGTCTCCGAAAATTCATTTATGCTAACGCTGTTGTACATTATAGCAGACAGTGATGGAAACGGTGAAGCCAAATGAACCGTGAAAGCCACACACCAATTTGCATGTCATTCAGCAACCGGAGAATACTCGTGTAAGTCGGCATTAGGCGTTGCGAGGTTGATGAATAATCATTGCCAAACAACTGCAAGAGGCCACGATAGTGCCAGACCGGCATATTCAGTAGTAACTGTGTTGTCGTCTAATGTCTCTTTCCCTCACCTCGCTTCGCTGGAAATAAAACTGCGTTTATAACTGGTAGTGAGGGGCACCTTTGTTCCCACCGCAACTGCAACTGCGACTGTATGCGACGCCTCGATAACTCACTATGCGAATTTGATTTCCTTAGAGAATAGCCACGGTTGGCGACCTCCAAGTCTATCTCCACACAAACTACCTATCTTTCGGACAAATTATTCAACATACTTCACGACAGTCTGAGCCGGAAAAGAATGCGGTCTCGGCGAGCAGATTGGTGTTCAGCAACTTGCAGCATCTAGGGCTAAAGCGTCAGGTGAACGGACTGAAGGTGCACTGTAGCTCCCCCCCTGATCCACCCTCGCTACTGAGAATTACCGATTATATCGCGTCACCATCTACTAAAGATCCACTTGGAACTTTGTATTTCTTGTTCGCTGTTTTCTCGATGTGAGAGTGGTAGCAGATTGCTGAACTTTGCCGACCGGAACCGACTGTTTGTAACGAACACGTGCTTCCAGCAGCGCAACAAACACTTGCTGACCTGGTACTCCAACGACGGCCATACAGCCAGTTAGATTGACTATATTTTAGTCAGCTGAAAATTCCGCATGATAGTCGGTCGCTGCGTGGTGCTGAAACTGGTAATCTCTATGGCTCTGACCACGTTCTTGTTCGCACACCCTTGAAAGCTCACCTCTCATCGGCGCCCAAAGTGTTCCGCGCTAGACGCCTCGATGTCGTCAAAATCCGGCAACCCAACCCCGCTGAGGCCCTAAGCAGAGAAATCCGGTCCTGTTTCATGACCCGCGCCGACAACGAAGGGGGTAACCCATTGTCCCCATTGAAAACGGCAGTCTATGGAGCAGCCGACAAAATTATTGGATGCACCCAGCGGCACCACATTGATTGGATCAGCGGACGAACCCTGCAGTTGTCTGCGGAGACAGCCCGAGCTAGGGGCCGTAACGACGATTCCTTCCGTCAACTAAGAAAGATGACGGCAAAATCGGCCAGAGAGGACCGACAGAAATACTGAGCTGAAATTGCTCCCTCTATGGAGCAGGCCTCAAACGTTGGTGATCCTCAAAAGCTCTACCAACTTATTCGCCAGGCTAGTGGTAGACTGATTTCACTGACTGACCCAGTTCGTGATGTGAATGGCAGCTTTATTGCTGACACCGCGACCAAGATCGGACGCTGGCGTGAGCACTTCGAGCACCTCCTCAACTTCCATATGGAGCCCACCGCCCCCCGGCTCCCATTTGCAGTCGAGCCTCCTCCATCCCTCATTTATCCAGTGTCTCTCTAAACATTCCCCCTATATCAAGGTCAGAATACAATAGTTTTTAGTTGTGTTTGTTTTCCCATAACATCTGACACTAGGCTTCTGTAGGAGTACGACTTTAAGGATTACTAAAATTGCTATTTCAATAATAGCACGTTCTTCTTTCGAAATAATCTTGATTAAAGGGCCGCTACTGCAGGAAGGCATGAGGATCGCTGTAAGCTTTTGTCGAACAAGCTTGGAAACTTTCCATGTCTGAACTATCTGACCTGCTGTTCTCTAACTTCGTTTGGTTCTCCCACCTGTATTGAACTCGTTTGTTTGGCCAATTAGCCAACGTTGGCCTTGAGACTCAAGGTCATCCCTTTTACCTTCAATCCTTTCTGCACGCGCGTGCGACCCACGTTTGCAATCTTACACAGGGCTTACTGGAGTCTAAGGTCAGAATTCAGCCAGCTCACTGTCGTGTGCGTGTGCCTACTGCGAAAGTTTGCGCTTTATTTGTTCTGGATTATGTGCACATAGCATTTGTACAGAGCTCCGGTTTTCATTGGGCCAAGGTGTACGCGTTATCCTAAGCTACCAATATGTCGGTTACAATCACATTAGGTAGTTTCTCCCTGCTGGCAGAACTGAACTGCAAAGGTGTATCAGTTATGCAAATGAAACCATTCCTATGTCTAGGAATTATGGCAACCCAAAGAGCTTTGGAGGGCAAAGCCAGGACTGATTGTGAATTTCTGAATGAGAGATAGAGAGAAGTCCTGTAAAGGGTTGATTTCTGTATGAGAAATGTTTTTGATCCGCCAGACGGTTGATCGAATTTACGCTCACGGACTTCATGTTAGCAGCATAACCTTTAAGTTATTACCCAAACAGAAAATAAGACCTGCATACTTGGACATGTTACCTTCAAAACCTACCTGACGTAGACAATCCTGGCCAGATTGCTGGCTAAATTGCCTGCAAGAACAGAGGGAGAGCGCTTATTAGAAAACGATAAACGATAAAACGTTGTCATCTTTTGGACTCTATTCTGATTCTTTACGGAACTATGCCTACGCAATACGGTCGTACGTTAGAGTACCAACACCCGGGTTTAGCCTTAGCTAACTGATGATGAATAATATGTCTGAAATGGCCATTTCAGCCACCTTAATCTTTGCCAGTAATGTTCCTCTCTCCATACCATAATTTACGTATTCCATATGCTGCAGTGTGTTGAGCGGGCAACTGGACCTATTACTCTCGCGGCTGTCAATGGAGTCTCGTACCTCCAATAGTTAGACCGCTGGCTAAACATAAGCCTTGAACTTGTTATCGTAGGGTCTAATCCCATCGAGGCTTTCAATATTTCCAAACTTGAGGCAGCTCAATATAAATTATTGGTATTTTCCTTACGACCATGTATTTCCAAATATACTCCCAAACTTACAATAGACGCCGTTGATCATTCAATATTTCGACATACGCGAAAGACTAATACTCTTTCGCTAATCGGCATTGACTCCAGTTGTGATACT